AGTGTTGGAAGCCAACGAAACCGCCGACAACACAAAGAACTGGACGCGCGATTGGCAAGAGCCACAATTCGTCCTGGGAGAACTGAACTGAACTGAACTGACTGAGGGCGCTCATTTGAAACCTGTGCGTTACGTTTTCTTGTATCATTGTCGTCGCAGATTTCGGGATTTGATCTCTGGACTGCGAGTGAGATAACTTCTCTCAAATGGATTCATATTTTGGAACCATCGGGCTGGTTTCGGCGTAGTCATGCTGAACGGATCGGTCTCTCCATATGTATACTGCAAGGATTTACAAACGTTGGTTACTGTCACATTAGAAAATGTAATTCTCCCACTGCGCGATGAGCTAAAGCATTGCGACCAAAACTCAGAAATCTTGGCTCTCGAAGTCCAAGATGCGGAGGTAAGATAATATTCTTGGTTAATTTTCGCAGAATAAAATATATGAGTGTCTGGCGCAGCAGATATCTGCTATATGTAACGCAGACGAAGACATCGCTAATAATATCTTACGAGAGTATCCAAGGTCAGAAACATGCTTTAAATGTCTGGGAATCAATGAGGATACTGCTCAGGTTTGTCAGTGATGTTATTCTCCACATGGGTTTCTTTTAGGGTCTACTGCGCATACGCGGCATTGGATTTTTACAATTGTTAGATATGCCAGATGAAGAAGTAACAAGCATTCTGCAGAACTACGGTGATTCTGTGGAAGAAATTGAACATGTCATTTCTGGTCTCGCAAAAATACGAAGTAACATTGACCTCATTGAAAGTGATTTAGCATTCGATGACGATACACGTAACCTAATCAAGCTCGTTGTCCGTCTAAACAAAGAGCATATTGAGGACCCAGACACCATTCTCAATGACTCTCCGCTTGAAAATGTTTCATCTCAAGATTTTGACCAAGACGGCATCTCACAGCCGCTTCGAATGTCTACCGATCCGCCCAGCACGCCTATTCAAACCTCTTTTAACGAAAAGAACTTCTCTACTACACCAGAATCTTCACAAAAAGTTCAGAGGTCCAGCCCTCTGTGCTTATCTAATCTACCTAGACAACACAGTCAGCACCCAGCTTCTCCTGGTATCCCCACTCTATCGACATCCGGGCCCACATCAACGTGCACTACTGCTCCCACATCATCCCAAACGGATAGTCTAACACCCAATGGTTTTACCACTGACACCGGTTTCCCGAAATCTGCAAATTATTTTTGGAATGGAGATGTTCCTGTGGGTGGAATTTCCGTGCCTGCGACACCATTGTGGACCGAACGGGGTGCATGTGCTGTTGCCGTATCTCCGCCTCATGGCGTTCAGTCTACTTGGAATGGTTTTATTGCCGAAAATTCCTTATTCTCTTCCGGAGATCGGAACACATGTCAAAATCCACCGAATTATTATATACGTGACCGTGAACGTTCAAGGCAACCTGGAACCCCTCCTCCCAAACACAGATTAAAGTTACTCTTCCCTTTACATAGAAGCAAATCACATGAATCTAACCTTTCCAATCGAGTCACCCCACCAACCACATGTAACGCTTCTGTACTTCAGCACGAGGTTAGCAGACCGTTGGTGGGTTCAAGCACTTTGTCACCAGATGCGCTGAGTGCTAATGGAGAGGCGTTTGTATATCAGGATGCAACCACCGGTTCACCATTGACCACCTGCTTCAGAATAGCTAACAACGCCCAGCTAAGTCCTACTCCAAATATCCGAGGGTGCGTGCACGAACATTATCCTTGCGGAGCATTTGATGCACAACCTACTACCCGGGTTGTGCTTAGTTCGCCGAATTCGCATAGTTATGATTCCGTTCGTCGGATTTCGTGCGACTATCGTTCGCCGAAACGGCCACTACAACCTCCAACTCTGATGACGACATCTGTTGACGGAGAGAATCTCGTCGGTATGTTCCACAGCTTTTCTGTCCCCATTGGTTGAGTTTGAACATATTTTGTCCCTTGCGAGTTAATATTTTCGGTGAAAAGTTTATCCTAATATATGCCTCTGTCTAATTTACACTTGTAATTATACAGTGGTGATGGCGCAGTGGTTTCCATTACTAAACAACAGGTCCTCGTGACTTTCCCCGTCTGCTGTTTGTCACAGTACAGTAGATAAAGCTTTTATAATCTCTATGTTATCGTCTGGTTCGGTGTCCTCAATACTTCGAAATTTTCACAGTAAGCTAATCCGAATCACAAGACCCAAGTCGCTGGCTACCATGATTGACTACTGAATGTTCTCCTTTTACTGTTAACCATAACAGTATAAACTAAAAAAATCTAAAGTTAATACGGATAGTTAAAAGCCGTTTGGCGGATAAGAAAACTGAGTGTACCACTATGATTTAAAAAACACTGAAGTTCCCATCATGTACATATAGGCCAGTTCGAGGGTCGGGGATGCACCACTCAAGCATCCGCTCTAGCAATACAATTAAAACATTTGGAATTTATCCAGCAAAAATTGCATTTGGACTGGTCTTATGTCAGCAACAGAATGAACTTATATATTGAAAATACTGATTACTGGATGATTAAGGTTGGGAGATTTTGAACGGTTTATGCAAGTCACCAGATAAATTTCTTCCATATATTCGGTAGTATGTGACGGTTAGGAGCTCATGGCTAGTTGTATTATTTTAGGCCTCAACGTACGAATATCCCTGACAGTAGCTATTTTTTTTATTACATACTTTCGTGTGACGAACAACAGACCGGGAAAGCCCCATAGTCACGAGGACCTGGTGTTCAGTGATGGAAACCGGTAACCTAATCCCCGGGACGGAGTGGCGAACCACATAAGGCCCCGATAGGTTAGGTGTGGTATTGGACCGGGCGACAGCAAAGCTGCCTACCACCATAGAACATACAGACGATGTACATCTCCCCGACTGAACTCTTTGAAATCATAAAAACCGATATTTAAAGTCAAGCCAAATTAAGGAACGCTCCTTAAGTCACAATTTTGTCCTACTTTTGCATCTGCTCCCTTTTTTGTATGTTCAATTTGTTATCTTTTCTTTTTTTCGGTTACACTGCTGTTTTTCGCTTACTATCTGCTCATTGGTTCGTCGTTGGCTTATCAAGGGAGCGACAAAAGCCGAAACCTACAGGTACTAAGTCAACTGCTTTACAGCGTGTGGCTGAATATTTGAGGTCATTAACTACTGTAAATGTTATAAGTTACAAGAGTATCGTTGGCTGGAATTTTTTGCTCGATCCCTTGAATCAGTTATACTGTTGCATTTAGTTCACGGTAGCGTACAGTTTTTGCGAAGAGCTAGGGTTAGGGATTCAGTCAAGAGCGTAGACGTATGAAAAACGTCACCAATGAACTGGTCTCTCTCTCTCTCTACATATATATCACGTCAGATGCCAGACTGTGTGCCAAACAGTCGTGGTACAATAATCTTTATAAAAAGAAAAACGCTCCGCGATTTGCAAGTGGGCCGAATACTGCCAGGTTGCCCAGGCCAAGGTAGGTGAATTTTCTTGGGGAATCCACAACCGGAGCCTTTGGCTAACCAAAGCCTGACCCGCAAGGCAGCGGGGCGGTGTGTGAAAACCGCATTCCATTGGGAGCCGACGTCCAGTCCATCGGATCATACGCCTTTCGGACGGAGTCAAACGTCCAAGATACCCAATACACCTGGATGCCCAATCGAGCCGGTTGCCATTGCCATAACCGGAAAGGTGTGGGTGTGGTTCGTACGCCTCTTGGTTTGTTTGGAATCAGGGTTTTTAGCCAACTCCCGTATGTGAACTTCAAGTGGTTCATCAATCCGGTTGTAGACCGGGATATCAGCTTTTCGTCCTCCCACTTTCGTGCAAAAACACCACCATAAGAAGGCAGTGAGTAGGACTTCCTCAGCAGAGACTATTTGAGACTCTTGGTCATACGGGAGCATTTCGCGAGGTGCAAGGGACGGGTGACCAGCCGCAACCCTAGAACTGGTCTGCATAGAATGGGTTAAGCTTCTTCAATAGGATCCACAAGACCCGTGCAGTCTGGTTCAGGAAAGTAAGTAGTGCATTGCTTGCACTAGGGTATCTGCTCACATTCCTATTCCATTTAACGTCATTATTTTGGTAATACCTATTTACTTATTGATTCATCTTTTAGGGTTAAGCAATAATAGAACAGAATTGTTAGTGGCTGCTTGAACTGAGTTAAAACTTGGCTCCGGGGGCGCTGTATCGACTGGTATGTTGAAGAAACTGATTTTAGGGTTGTTAGGACGTGTATTTGATAAGCAGAATGGAACACGTGTCTTTTTGTGCATGAAAACTCTGTTGACAAACAGAAATTGCCTCGCTGTTAATTACCCCGGTTGATGTAACGTTTTTCTCCTTGATTATGACAATTACTTGTCCTGTCATATTGTCTAGCCCTCTATGTCTGGTACATTTCATAGGTGTGCTGAATATTCCGCGATCCGGCGGGACAACTCTGGTGGTCAGTAGTAATGGACTTATGCACAAGTAAGTGTCCCCAATATGGCTTCATTTATTCCTTTTTTGATTGCCAATATTAACTTGGCGTCCTTTTTATTGAGATGTTCGAGTATCTTGACAAAAATCGTTTTTGCGCAGTTAGGCTACAGGGTTCAGTTAGTGTTCGGAAGGGTAGCAACACCCAAAGTTGTTTCTTTATCATTTTCGCGTATGCACCAACCAACTACAGTCCCGCTTCACAAAAGGACGAATTTTACGACAAACTCGCTGAACTCATTCGGTTGAGCCGCAGCTCTGATATTATAGTGCTGGGAGGTGATTTTAACGCTCAAGTTGGAAAACTGAGCGCATCCGAAGCCTGTCTAGGAGGACACTTCGTCCTCCCCGCCCAGCGAACAGACAACGGTGATGGACTACTCCAGTTCTGCGCGGATCACCGGCTGTTCTTATCCAGCACCAACAGTCAACATCGCTCTTGTCGAACGGCTACATGGTGTGCTAATTCAGCGGGAACGTTAACCCAAATTGACCACATAGCCATAAGCTACCGTTGGCGTGGTTCAGGACAAAATTGCAGATCTTATTGAACTATCTGCGTTGATTCAGACCACGCACTCGTTCTCTTACGCTTCACTCTTCGACTCAACGATCATCGGCAGAAATCGCCTCCTCAGTTAGCTCATCATCGTCTGCGCACGTTATGAGGAGAAGCTGGGACAGGAGCTAGGAGAACAATGACATAGTGGAGTAGACCAACAATGGAATCAGATTAGATGTGCAATGCACTCAGCAGCAAACTTTGCTTCTGGGACCGAGCCCGAAGTTCGTTGAAAGCATTGGATCTTTCAGAAGACAGTAATCTTGATGGATCAAAAGCGAGAGATCCCAATCTGCCAGGATCAGCATAGGGACCGGTGGCGCGTGCAATGTGAACCCAGAAATAGCCTTAAGGAAGCTCGTGAAAATTGGTGAGTTAAAATAGTTGGTGAATTGAAGGTAGCTTCTGCATCAGGGAATAGACGAAGGCTGTTTCACCTGATACGCAGTTTCGCAGGTCGTCGCATAACGGTCAGTGATACCATTTGCGATAAAAGTAGACAGAGTAACCACAAAGAAAAATAACGACTTAATCGATGGGCAGAGTATTGTAATGAGCAGTTCAGTTGGTCTAGTGCTAATGCGGTTATTGCAGCAATTACAGCGGAATCCCCATGGGTGGTAACATGTGGGCCCCCATCGAATTTGGAATTACGAAGGTGTATTCAATTATTAAAGAAAGTGAAGGCTGTGGGACTTAATGGGCTTCTCTCTATTCTTTTCAAGGTGGACGGTGATTCTCTTGTCGACTTAATTACTAGCTTACTTTGTAGCATTCGATTGGAGGAGCGAATCCTTTTGTCCTAGGGTGAATCGTTGATCGTCCCGATCTTCAATAAGGGATCACCCAACCACTGCGCAAACCACCGCAGGATGAGTTTACTTCCGATGATCACAAAAGTGTTGACTTCTGTCATACTTCGTCGCCCGATACTCTTAAAGGAGATAAATAACCGCTCACAGGAAGCCGAATTTCATTCAGGTCGCGGTTGCATCGACCCAATCTTTACTCAGCGTCAAGTCCGTGAATTGCTTCACACACATCATCGACCAACAATCAAGGTGTTCTTGATCTAAAAGGAGCCTTCGATTCAGTTGACCTCGAAGCTCTCCCGAGGTCGCCGCTTCCTAAGAAATGCCGCAAAAGTATGTAAACCTACCGCGGTCGCCGTAACTGCATACTTCTGGTAGTGTTAGGGTCTATGGTGGGTTAAGTTAATCAGTCGTAAACCACCAGATGTGTTCGTCAAGGGTGCCCTATTTTGTCATTACTGTTCACTTTCGTCGTAGACGAATTGAATGAGCATTTGGAAAAAAGCTGTGTCTTTTAGAGTACGCGGATCACATCGTTTGTCTGTTCAAATGTATGGATGATACGCACAGCGCTCTTGACAAACTTTCTAGTTCTGTAACTTCATTCAGTGTGCGCTTTGCACCTTCAAAGTGCAAAGTGAAGTTTCAAGATTGGCTGTCGTCTACCTCGGCACTGATACTTGATGGTCACAACTAGCTCTACTACTTAGGTACCTGCATGACAAATGACGGTAGCGTAGTCAAGAAAGTGACCGCCTACATTTCCAAGGCTCGAGCAGCTCACGCAGAAATGAAAGATCTTTGGTACAGATGTGATTTTTCGTTGAAACTGAAAGGTCGTGTATATTGCGCTAGCATGCTGTCAGTTCTGCTTTATGGTTCGTCATCATCGTCGTACAGCGAAATACTGTGAAGCGAATTTCACTGATTGCTGCCAAACCTGCAATGCATACCATGTTAGTGGTAAAATTTAAGGTGGACAGGGATTGGACCTACTTTGAGGGAGGGCGAAGAAGTTGAGCCACTATGGTCAGCCCACAGAGAGCACAATCGAACTCTGCATACATAGCG